TCTTGTGAAAGCTGGCTTCCTAAATCTTGAGTTATTGAATATCAGGGTTGATTTAACTAGGGATATTAGTGGCCAGGTACAATGGTCACTATATAAAGCCCTTCCCTCAAAAGAAGTGTGAATCAGCTTGTCCCTATTAATTGTACACAGGTACAACTACAACTCAATTCTGATTCAAAATACTGACAGGCTAAATGTGAGAAGTGAACCATTAGCATAAACAATGCATAAAGCAGCAACAAGAGGGTTGTGAGAGTCACAGTTTAGCAGACCTGACTACCTGCGAGGAATAAAAAGGAAAAAAAGAGGAAAGGATATATTATCTTCTCCATCTCTTGTGTGGAGAATGTTGCAGTTCTGTCCCACAAAAATTTTTCAATGGGAAGCTTTTTTCAACCGGATCTCATTGCTTCTTAGAATTAAAAAAAAAGTTAGTATTTCCGAAAATGTTATTTTTAGCACACTGATGATCAATGGTTAATGTGAGTTTTTAAATAAAATCTACTCTGCCTGGCTGCTCCCAGGCTTTCCTGAGTTGAAGAAAGCCTGTGTTGTGCAGTGTTCAATGTCATCACAAAAAGAAGCTACAGTTTGATCAAAATAAATAGTTCCTAAGAACAAGTTAGTTGTGTAATTTGAGGTTTTTAGTGTCGATTGTAGCTGGAAACTGCTGTCAACAAATAAAATTCCTTTCTAATGTAGTACTGGTCAACTTTTCACAGCATAAGACAGATGTTGTCTTGGCAGATTTTTAATTCACATTGTGATGCACAGATGCATCCAACACAAATGTAATTCAGTCACAAATAAATGCCTGGCAAATAGATGAAATGGAATCCTAAAATATTTTGTTCTTTCAGTAGACTGGCTTTGTTTCTCGACCAGTTTGCACATGTGATTCATGCGTTCCTTATTACTAGATAAAGAACTGAAATAGTTGCATGTAAAACCACATATGTCCTGGAAAAAAAACAGAGCTCTTGGCATAACATGATGTGCCCAAAGTTTAAGTCTTCTAAACATGAAGCCCATCTGTTCTAGATAACACAGAACTGAGTGGTGACTAAGATGTTTTTGCACTTTTGAAATCTCTTGGCCAATTCTGAATTGTTTTTGCCAAGAAAGTTGTAGTTTAAAATCTTAAAAGCTTTAAAATAAAATATATTTTAAAGTAAACTGAGTTATTGTAAATTATAAGTTTTCAGTTAAAAAAAATAAAAAGAAATTGTTTTCCTTTTTTAACTATCTTAGGCATTGGACATTGTAATTTCTTGACATAAATAAGGGGATGAAAGTGGAATTTATGAAAATTACATTCTTTTTTTAAATCCAAGATTTTAGCTCTAGTGTATTTTTAGCAGTAACAATGTAACCTGCCTCATTTTACAGGTAGAACTTTTTTAAATGAGCCTTTGCTAATAAAATATTTGCTAGTTTTGATGGAACAGAGTCACAGACAAGCCCATTTTAAATGGGAGATTAATCCTTGTTTTTCTTTTTAATTTTCTGTAGTATGACAAGCCAGTTTAATTAAAAATTCAATAATGTGTGCTAAGATTTTTATTGCAAAGCTGTAAATGATCTTCTTTGTGTATCTCCTTGTACTTTCTCTTTTCAAAGGCTCATTGCAAAAAGATTTAATGCTACTAACGATAAACACAAATAAACCCCAAATGTCAACCAGGGACCTCCCTGATGTCTCTTTCTCTTGCTTCTAATTAGGGGGCATAAGAAATTTGAGCACAGGGATTTAAAAGCAAATGGAGAAATCACTAGAGAGCAGAGAGCAGACACAGGCACTTTCACTACAAGCTTGTGCTGATAGATATTCCTGCAATAACTGTGCAACACTAAACCACCACTGCTTTCCTGCTGCTGCAGAGCAGCGAGTGGCGACTGTGCTGCATCCCTGGGGCTGCTGAGGCTGTACAGCGTCTAATTAGAAAACCTGTTGGCACCCCTAGCAGCTTACCTGAAGAAGTCAAAGGGAGATAAGCAACACCCAGTGAGCAGCCGGGTAACCTGTCTTGGTCCATCAGCAGGCAGGTGTTGGCAACAGTGACTGATGGTGGCATTCCAGCGTGCTGGAGATGCCATGTCACCTGTAATGGGGTCAGACTGTCCTCACCACAGTCTGGAGACCCTGATTAAAAAATGCCAGGCTTACTTTCCTCACCCAACTAAGGCTGCCCTTGGGCACTACAAACAATCATTCAAGCCATGCTTTTGCCAGCTGGATGACAGAGATCATTAGCACAACAAAAAACAGAATACAGGAACTGCCACATTGGATCAGACCAGTGTTTCACTAAGTCCTGCATCACAGCCCTGCCCACAGCCCATTCCACAGGCTTCAGAGGAAGGTGGGAGAAACCACGCTGTTGGAATGCTGTGATGTAGGGCTTCCAGAAGGAAAATATGGCTGGTATGTCAACATGTCAACTCCCTCTCTCAACCTGAAAAATAAGGAATGCAGCCCTAGTGTTTAGGGTCACAGCTGCTGAAGCAGAAGGCAGGGAAGGGAGGAGTTTAGATACTACCTCACCTACCCATCACAGGTGCTTAAATTAGGCATTGTGAATGTCCTTCCTTGATCCCACCATCTATTTTCTCTGCTTGTTGCATGTGATCAGTGATATTTTTCTTCCTCAGAGGAGTGAGATAAGAATAAAATTCTAAAAGATGTTCAAGTTTGCAAACATTTTTACCATTAGGAAAAATAAAGAAAATAAATTCCTGAGACAGGGATATGTACCAGGAGATCTCAAAGCACTTCACGTAAGATATTGGGAGGCATTTTCTCCATGTCATGAAGAAAGTTAACATTTCTTCCTGGATGCATAGTAAAACCCTTGTTACCTGTAAATGTCCCCCTTTCCCTATAAACATAGAATTTGTTTTGAAATTCCAGCACTTATTTTGCCTGAAGACACACAGAATCACAAGTGGTTGGCTTGGGTGCCCATTACGTAGTTTGTGTTCTGTGTTTCTCCACTGTAACTCTTGCTGGTTCCAGTTGTATGAATTACAACAACATCAATTTTCTCACAAGCCCAAATGCAGCAATAAACATTCATAGCACCATGTTCTAAGGCCAAGATTTTAAAACTAGTGGGAATCCAAATGCCTGATTTCAGGTGTTTAAACAGCTGGTTTTCTAAGCAGACAGAATTTGTGCTGTTTGACTGAGCCTCCATCAGGGGCTGAAATTTGGATATTCAGCAAGGGTTCCATCCAAAGTTATCGGTGGGCTTGAAAGACTTGACTTCCCAGATTGTATCTTTCTCGGGCACCAGTGGATAGCAGAACAAAAAAGCTGCTTCTCATAGCAGGTAGAAAGAACAAACTGAGTTTCAGAAGGAAACAGCTCCTTTAATTCAAACTACATATTACATACATATGTAAATCTCTTAGTTGAGCTTAAAGGTTGGTCCAATCCAGAGCAAACACAAGCTATCACTTAATGCTAATTGAAATTGGCATGATCTTTTCAGTATTCATGTCCCCAGACAGGAAGATGCTAATGAAAACAAGCTTTGAAATCAGCATTTAGCATGATTTCTGGCTAGCAGAAGTGCAATTTTGCTGTTCATCTCAGCATTAACAGTGCAAACAAAAGCTATGCATTATGCCAAAGCCTTAAATCAGGGAGGAAAAAAGCAACACACCAGATGCAAACCAAACAGACCTCTCCAGAACACACTAAGTTACTAACATTAAGAATTTTTAAGCAATCTGGTTTTCACCCCACTTGTCAGCAGAGATTTAAAACAGTGGCACAAAGGTGACTCCCAGCATTAACCTTTCTGCTACTTCTCCCTGCAAGACCCTTGCAGAGTTGCTACCTGCACTCCAGCCTTGCTCAATCCAGCAAAGTCACACAGCAATTATTCGTGTTGAATTGCAGATATCCCTCACCTGGCTCCAAACAGCTACACACAGGGGAGACCCTGTGCAACACCCCACAGACTCCAGCCCTCGCTGGGAAGTGGCTCAGGGACCCTCCTTTATGTGGGATACCCCCCTTGATGTGGGACAACCCCTAGTACCTCATGAAGGTACGTTATGATGTCAGCAGGAAGCCAGCACAGAAGGAAGAGAGGAGCTGGGTTCCCCCTTTAGCCTGGGATGTTTAGGAGGGAAGGAAGGAGGGAGGTGTAGGGGGTGAACATTAAACCCTGACCATTTACTGCACCTGGCCAGAGTGGAATGGGTTGTGAAATTGAACCTAGAATTCTGGAGAATTTGGGAGTGGGATGCTGGATCCTGTCACCCATGGGGATGTCTCAACACTTGTAGGACCCACAGGGATGTTGCCACGGCTGTGGGACCCACAGGAGTGTCACGGTAAGCGAGGACCCACAGGTGATGTCACAATAGGCATGGGACCCACAAGGGATGTCACGATAGATGTGAGACCCTGGGGGACCTCACAACACATGAGGGACCCTATGGGGTCATTGCAGTGGGTGTGACACACAGGCATAATTCCTTAGAATCACTGCCTCCTCCTCAACCCTGAACCAGTGTCTCCAGGGGGGGAACCCAAATCTGTCTGGGTTTTTTTCCAAAAACTAACGAGAAAAGTCCCAGCTGAGAATTCTGGAGAAGTCTGAGCCTGGCTCCTGGCCAAAAAAAGCCTTTAAAAAGCTTAAAAACACCCATCTCAAACTTGGACAAATGACGTTTCTTAAAATAAAAGCAAATAAAATGGATTTTTCTTTTAAAAAAAACCAAACCAAGCAAAACCAAAAAATAATCACTCACACATCCCCGCACCCTAAAAAAAAAAAAAAAAGGAGAGTTATTAAGATAGTACTTTTAAAAGTCTAGGTAAATACAGAAGGACTTTTCCTAGGTAAATACAGAAGGACTTTTCCTAAAGTGAATAAAAGGAGTTTTTTCCTTAAAAAACACCCATAAAATACAAATATTTTTAAAAGATTTTTCCTCCCCCAAAAACAGAATTCCAGTGTATAAGGGCTTTTCTCCTCTCTCCCCCCGTCCTGGAAAAAAAGCCAAAATACATAAGAAAGATTTATTTTTTAGCCTCAAAATAATAAACAAAGAATTAACTTTAAAAGGACATTTTTGTTTAGGAAAATTAAATCAGAGGATGGGAGTTCCCCTCAAAACAAGCAGGAAATGAGGAGGAATGAGAAAATAAGGGACAATTTCTTGAAAATCCTAACATGCAGGGATTGAGGGTTTTTTCTTCTCTGGAGTAAATGCCACAAAATAACCCTAAAACTAAGGGAAGTGGTGGAGGATTTGGGTTTTGGTGTTGTTTTTTTTTTTTTTGGGGGGGGGCCTGTTGCTCAGCAGAGAAGAAACTCAGAATCCCCCATCCTGAAATTCCTGAAATTTACTATTTTGGAGTAAAAAACCTCCTGTGAAGTGATGAGGGATCCAGAGGTGTCTCCAGAACCCCAAAATTATTCGTAAAGAGGCTTGTCTGTGCTTAAGAAAAAAAAAGAAAGAATCTGGAGGAGCCAAAAATCCAAAACCCATGAACTCAAATACCCCTTTCTAAAAAATCCTGGGAGAGCTCAGAGAGCTTGGGTGGGCGGGAAGTTGGCAAATTCCCTGTTTCCGTGCTTTTTTGATAAAAGAAGGAGCTGGATGAGGCAAACCCCAGCATTTTTGGGTGTTTGAGCTCATTTTCGGGCCCTGGTTCTTCTATTCATCGGAACCCAGGTGAGGGAACTTTTATTCTGATGAGGATTTCAGTCATTCCCTGGAATTCTCTCTCTTTAAATTCCTTATTTTTCATAGATTAAGGAAGCTTTCTCTCTTTTAATTACTTAAAAATGCATGAAAAAGGATAAAAACATCCTGATTTTATGCATGGAAAAAGGGCAAACAATCATGTATTTGTGCACAAAAATGGCAAAAATCCTCATTTTGTGCACAAAAATGGCAAATGCTTAAGATTCAATTAAATAAAAATTTATTAAAAATCAAAATAAATGGAAAGTACATAAAAATCAAATTAAATTAAAAAAACAAATAAATAGTCAATTAGATTAGAATTAAAATTTTAAAATTAAATGAAATAAAATTAAATTGAAAACTTCAATTAAAGTTCAATGATATTGAAATAAAAATAAAAAAATTAAATTAAGAAACCACCAAAATTAAATTGCATGAAGACTGGAAATGAAGTTAAAATTAATAAAATTAAAATGCCAACTTTCCAAATACTTCCCTTAGTAAAAGAAGTGTTTAGAATAACACATTCCACAAAAAATTCCTGGGAAAAGAGTCTGGATGGTGTTTTAAAGTGGGATTTTTTGCCTTCAGACCGTCATCACTTTCTGGGACTTTTAGGGGGGATTGTGGTTTGCGGATTTTTTGTTGGTTTATCTTTTTTAAATTCTCCCTGATTTTCACATTTTTTTAGGGTCGAGGATGTTACCCTCCAGTGTTTTCCTCCTCCTGATTTTGGGTAAATTCTGAAAAAGAGTTATAATTTTCATCCCTGTTGGGGATTGATGGATTGACTCATTTCCCCCCACTCCCTCCCCCCACTTTTCTTCTCCAGGATCTGTTGTGGACACCAAAACCTCATTTGAAAAAGGTGAGTTTTTCAGGTTTTGCCTTAAAAACCACTATTTCCACCTAAAACAAGCTTTCTCTAACCCCCATTATGTCATTTTCCCCCTATTTGTCCCCAAATCTGTATGTTCTTTATGTAATCTCCATGGGGTAATTCCCTAACACCCAATTTCACCTTGATCACATAGTAGCAGACAAACCCATTTTTAGGTATCCAAGAACACAGGAATCCCAAATTTGGCATGCTTCACCCCTGTATTCATATAGTTAGGTGTTTTTTGAGGGGAGAGTTCCCAAATCCTGATTTTGCCACAGGGTCCCTACTCTATCCCTACGGACCAGACCAGGGGGACCAGACGAATCCCAAACATGATGATGGGACATCTGAGAGGATCGCCCTCTTCGTTCCCTTCACCTTCTATGGCAAAACCCATGAAGCTCTCTTTGTAGGTCACTCAAAATTTAAGATTTTGGGAAATTTCCACCATTTTTCCTGATTTTCCCTCTGTTTCTGTTTCATTTTTCACTTGTCTGTGTCCCCATCCCCGAACTCCCTTCTCCAAATTCAACCCCATTTGAGTTCATAGAGGGGTTTGTTTTGGGGCATTGAGAAGTCTTCAGGTGGGTCTTGAGGGGGTTGGGAGTACTGGAGGGTTTGGAGGGGTTTGGAGGGTCCTCTGGATCGTGGGTGTTGGGTGGGTGGTCCTTGGTGGTCCTGTGGATGATGGGTGGTGAGAGGTCTTGGGAGTAGTAGGTCTTGGGGTGTTGGTGAGTGTTGTAGAGTCCTATGAGTGGTAGGTTTTGGGAGGGTCCTGGAGGGGTGGGTCTTGGTGGGGTTGGTGGGTGTTGGGGGCTTTTGTGGTTGGTGGGTTTTGGGGGGTTCTAGGGGCGTTTGGGGGTCCTGTGAGAGAGCATTTCTATGGTTGGTGGATCTTAGGGGGGAGACCTTTGGGTGGTGGGCCTTGGGGGGTTGGTAGGTGTTGGGAGGTCCTGTGGGTGGTGAGTCTTGGGGGCCTTGTATAGTCCATGTCCATACCCCAAATCAAGGTGACGCACCCCCAACCCTTTTCCCCACCCCCTCCTGGTGTCACCTGCAGGTGAACAACAATGGGGTGATCTCCTTTGATGAACCTGTCAGAGAATACACCCCCGACCCCTTCCCACTGGCGGATGGGCGCTCCTTTGTGGCCCCTTACTGGGCAGATGTGGACAATGTGCTGGGTGGGGATATCTTCTACCGCCAGACCACCAACGCAGTGCTGCTTGGGGACATTAGCCGGGACATCAACCAGTACTTCCCCAAAACCCTCTTCACTGCCACCTGGGCCTTTGTGGCCACCTGGGACCACGTGGCCTACTATGGCTCCACCTCCACAAAGGTGAGCCTGTGGCTGGGGCATGGAGGTCACTCATTGGCTCTTGTGACTCACTTGGTGGCCTTGGTGACCAACCTATCTTTGGTGTCCATGACCCACCCTTTACTTCCACAACCAGTCCTTACCTCCTTGACCCATCCTTGACCTCTGTGACCTTTTCCATAGGGCAACACCTTCCAGGCTGTCCTGACTACTGACTCCAAGACATTCTTCATCATCCTAAACTACTGGGACATCCAGTGGACCACAGGAGCGGCGAGTGACGGGGATGCTGAAACGGGGCTCGGAGGGATTGCAGCACATGTAGGTGGGAAGGGGAGGAGGAGAACATTGTCCCACTCCATCTTCTGGGGATGATGACGACGACGATGATGATGATGATGACGACGACGATGATGATGGTGATGATGAAGATTAGGGATTGGCCCAAAATATTTTTAAGGGGAAGTCTAGGATGTCTTGTCCCATTTCTGGAGATGATGATGAAAATTATGAAGGTCAGAGGTTGGCCCATCCTATCTTCTGGGGATGAGGATGATGAAGGTCAGAGATTGGTCCAGTCCATTGTCCAGAGATAGTTATGATGAATATCAGAGATTGGCCCACAGTGATTTGGGGGGAGGTTGAGGTTGTCCCCTCCATCTTCTGAAGAGGCTCATCATGATGGTGAAGGTCATGGATTTGGTCCATAACATTTTGGGGGGCCACCGATGGTCAATGCTCACCTCCCAACATAATTTTGGGGTCCCAACACCCCTTTGGGTGGGTCAGTCCCCACAAATTCCCCCCAAATTTTCCAGGCGGGATTCAACAGTGGTGATGAAACCAACTTCTACAACATTCCCGGATCCCAAACAGATGCCATCATCAACATCACTGCCACCTCCAATGTCAATGTCCCAGGGCGCTGGGCCTTCCGGGTGGACAACTTCCAGTTGAAGGGTGTGGACCCTCCCAATGTGAACGAGGACAACAACTGCTGGTTGTAAGTTGGAATTTTGGGGGGGGGGAATTGGGAATTTTGATGAAAAGTGGGAACTTGAGGGGATAATTTGGGAGTTAGGGAGAAAAAGTGGGGATTTTGGGGGATAATTTTTGATTTTGGGAGGAAAATTGGGAATTTTGGGAAAAGATGGTGAATTTGTTGGGGGAAATTGGGAATTTGGGGTGAAAAGTGGGTATTTGGACATGGAATATTGAGAATTTTGGGAGAAAATTGGGAATTTAGGGAAATTGGGAACTTTGGGGAAAAATTGGGAATTTGGGGGGGAAAAGTGGGGATTTTATGGAATAATTTTAGAGTTTGGGGCAAAATTGTGAATTCTGGGGGCAATACTGGGGAATTTTTTTTAAATTGGGAAATTTGGGGGGAAATTGGGAATTTTTTGAGGAAATGGGGATTTTTTTGGGGGGGGAAAAGAGATTCTTCCTCTTGGGCTGTTGGTGTCTCCTGTAGGTGAATCAAGGGGGCTGGGACAGAGGGACATCCCCATTGCCATCACTGTCCTCAATGAAGTCAATTGGAAGGTCAAGGTCGTGTCCTCCTCTACCAGAGCAATAAAATCACAGCCAAGACATTGACTGTAGTGTCCATTTCATTGTCACTGTCATGGCACCCATGGTGACATCATCACAGCCATGTCACCATCACTGTTCCCACAGTTCCAGGGGATCTGAGGGGCTTTGGGTGAAATGTGCTGGAGTTCATTCATCTGTGCCTTTTTGGGTGTTAATTAATGAGTTTTTGCACTGTATGAAGTCAAGTTCATGCAGTACCTGTGCACAACACACAACTTGGCACACCCCCCCCCCAAAATGTTGCACCCACAACATGCTCTAACATGAAACCACACACGCCCAACACTCCGCATGCCACACAACACAAATAACACAAAAACTAGGACAATACCCCAAAACTGTTGCTCCTACAACACACTCTGACGCAACACAAGACACACAAGACACAACTTTACCCCTCCCCCCACACAAGACACAACTTTACCCCTTCACTCCCATTCAAAGAATCACAGAATAATTAAGGTTGGAAGAGAACTCCAAGATCATCAAACCCAACCTTTGACCAAACACCACCTGGTCAACTAGACCAGAGCACTGAGTGCCACATCCCATCATTTCTTGAACACTTCCAAACTTGGTCACTCCACCACCTCCCTGGGTAGCCACTTCCAGTGCCTGACCACCCTTTCTGTGAAGAAATTCTTCCTGATATCCAACCTGATCCTCCCCTAGCATAGCTTGAGACCATTTCCTCTTGTCCTATTGCTGGTTACCTAGGAGAAGACTCTGACCCTCTGTCCTAGTTAGAACAGCTGGGACCAGTTCATCACTGGATGGGTGTAACCCAAACCTGTGTATTCTATAGCCTTCCATGCCATTTCCCAGAAACTGTTATCAAGAGAGCATTTACACCCTCTGCCCAGAGCAGCCTGACTCCTCAGGCTATAAACTAGGTGTTAAGAGGTCTGCGAGATAGGAGGGTGTCTCCTGTCCTCACACCCATTGTGGAACTCCCTGCCTTGAGGGAAGTACTGGGCATTCCTACCTGAACTGGAGAATATATAATCTTGGAGTCTTGGAACTTTTTTAACCACTCGTGGGATCCAGAGGAAGACTGCAGACCACCACTCTCAACCAGACTGCAGACCACCGCTCTCAACCAGACTGAGACCACCACTCTCGACTGGACTACAACCACTGCTTTTCAACCGGACTGCAACCACTACCCTCGACCAGACTGCAATCACCACTCTTAACCAGACTGCAACAGCACTCTCACCAACAGATTTTCCCCTCTCCTTTTACTTTGGACTCAGGGGGCCCAACGAACACCATTCTGTTCATTCCCCAGGGTGCTGGGTTATACATTTGGGTTTTGTGGGTTGAAACCAATTGTTTGCCTGTATAATCGTACTTATTGTATTATTTTATTAAATATTCTGACTTATAATCTCTCTTTTGAGTTGGGTTTATTTCCCCTGCCGGTTTACCTTTAAACCAGCACACCCCCACCTGGCTACAACCTCCTGTCAGGTAGTTCAGAGCATGAGATGGTCTCCCCTGGGCATCCTCCAAGCCAAACACCCCCAGCTCCCTCAGCTGCTCCTCACCAGACTTGTGCTCCAGACCCTTCCCCAGCTCCATCGGCCTTCTCTGGACATGCTCCAACTACTCAATGTCTTTCTTGCCATGAGGGGCCCAAAACTGACTCAGTAGTTTGATGTGTGGTCTCATTTTTGCCCAGCACAGGGGGACAGTCACTGTGCTGTTTCTTGCTGGCCTTACTATTCCTGATCCAAGCCAGGATGCCATGGGCCTTCTTGGCCACCTGGGCACTGCTGGCTCATATTCAGCCCCTGTTGACCCCCAGGTCCATTTCCACCTGGCAATTTCCCAGCCACTCTGCCCCCAGCTGCTGTAGCACTGCAGGGGGGTTTTGTGACCCAAGGATGGGACCCAGCACTTCCCCTTGTACCTCATATCATTGGTCTTGGCCAACCAATCCTTTTGATTCCTCAAAATGATTTTTTTTCCTTCCCCCTCCCTTTTTTACACCAATCATGCCCCGCCATTTCTGCAAAAAATACCTAACCTTCCCTATTTTTGCCCTCCCCCCTGCTTTCTACTTGTTGTTTTGGGAAAATTTCAACCTCATCTTCCAAAAATCCCACAACTTTATATTTAGTAATGCCAATTGTTTGCATTAGTTTCAATAAAACCCCCTGTTTTTCTCCCTTGTTCACCTTTTCCGGCCAAAAATTATGTCAAGGCATTGGGTGGGGTGGTCCCCTGAGGGTGCCTGGATTAGTCATTTTTTTCCCTCTTCTTCTGCCAAAATTAAAAAATAATTGAGGGAGGAGCCAGAGCTGCTGCCCTGGGATTGTGTTTTCATCACAGATTTGGGGATAAAACAGAGCTCTTTGGGGATACGAAGCTAATTTGGGAATATAACGAGGACAGAGGCAGGTAAGGGCAAATCTACATCTAAAAATTGATATTTTCTTTTTGGCAGGAAACCACCAAATTGGGAAAATCCACCTGGAAATTCCTGAAATTTCTCCCCTCACCCTCCCATCTCTGGTTCTGGTCCTTAGAACAGTGGGATTGGAAGATGTGTGAGGGGATTTGGGGGAAAAAAGGGCAGGGAAGGTGGGGGAAAGGGAAAAAGGGGGGGGGGGAAAGGGAGGAAAGGGAAAAGATCAGAAAGGGGAAATAAGAGAAAGAAGGGAGGAAAAGGGGTAAAAGAGCAAGTAACAGAAAAAAGAGAGGAAAGGGAAAAGGGGGAGGAAAAGGAAAACAGTGAAGATAAAAAGGGGGAAATAGGGAAAATGGAGGAAAAGAGAAGAAGTTGGGGAAAGGAAACAAGTGGAGGAAAGGGGGAAAAGCGGACAAAAGGAATGAAAAGAAGAAAAAGGGAGAGGAAAGGGAAAAAAGATAAACAAATGGAAAAGCAAAAAAGGGGAGGGAAGGAGAAAAAGGGGATTAGAGCGCAAAAGGAGATTGAGGGAAAAAAGGAGGATGGGGAAAATGGAGCAAAAGAAACGAGAATGAAGATAATAGGGGAAAAAGGAAAACAGGAAAAAAATAGAAATGGGCAAAATGAAAAGGGAGGAAAGGGGAAAAAGAAGCAAAGGGATCTTGAGCGGTGTGGGAAGGCATATGGAAATGTCCCCCCAAAAACTTATTTTGGGGTCAGATGCGCTAAAGTGTAGATGTTTAAATATATGCAGTAAAAATAATGGCTTTGGGGGATGATATGACTGACAAAATCAGATTTTTAGGGGCACATTCAACAGAACACCCCTTTTTGGGATGAGTGCAAGGGTGAAAACCACAGATTTGGGGGATTTGTGAGTTTTAGGTCAAAAAATGAGTGAGTTTGTGGTAAATTCCAGTGAGATTTCAAAAAATCTGAGAATTTGACTGTTTTCTTGCCTTTTGCACCCAGAGCACCATGGATGGCAGCCTGGGAAAAGCAGATGTGCCATACTGGTTCTGGATTGTCAGCTTCTGCGGTAAGTTCCAGCTGCGTGGAGAAATGCCCCAGAAGCTGCAAGATTCCCCTCAGATAATGAGTTTGCCTCAAAATTAGGGTTTTCTAGTCCCAAAGAAGGGTTTCCTAGCTCCATATCTCCATCTTTTGCCCAAGAAATTAATTGGGGTTTTGTCAAATTTGTAATTGTTCAAATTGTTTATTTCTGTTAATGATGATCTAGCATATTAATCTAATCAGTTAAATATTTGTTCAGATCAATGGAGTTTATTCTCTCATTTGGAGAATGCAGTGTATTGAAAGTCCATCCAACTAATGATTTATCACATCAATACTTCATCAAATTAATAGTCAATTACATTAATAATCAATCAAATTAACAGTTTGTCAAATAAATAATCATCAAACTGTACATTCAATCTATTTTATCAATATGCCACCAAATTAGTAATCCATCAAATCAGTAGTCCATCAAACTAACAGTCCATAAAATCAATGATCTAACAGTCTATCAAATCAATCAAGTCTATCAAATCCATAATTTGCCAAGTCATCAGATAAATGTTGATTCAAATTTTTATTTCTCCAAAATAATATCCCATCAAATCAAATCAAATTAAATCAACAGTCCATAAAATCAATAATCCTGCGAATCAAAGACTCAATAAGCCAATGACCCATCAAATTAATAACCCATCAATCAGTAGTCTGTCCAATAAAAAGTCCATCAATTTAATAATCCACTAGTCCATAAATCCATTGGCTCAATAATCTGTTGAATAAATAATCCATGAAATCAATGATCCACCAAATCAGTGGTCTATCAAATAAAAGCTCCATCAAATTCAAAGTCAATCAAATCAATAACCCATTAAACTAATAATCCATTAATCAATAATTCACCAAATTGATCAAGTTATGAAAATAATAGTTCATCAAATTCATAGTCCATCAATCAATGATCCATAAAATCAATAGTCCATCAAATGAACAATCCATCAAACCAATTAAAACTCTTCAATAAAAGGTTCATCAAATCAACAGTCCATCAAATCAGTCAAGCCTATCAAATCAATAGTGCATCAAATTAATAATCCATTGAACCAAAATCCCATCAAATCAATAATCCATCAAATCCATGATCCATCAAAATAATAATCCATCAAATAAATAATCTATCAAATTAACCACCCCTGGTCCTCCTGCCCTTCATCCAATTCCTTCTCTTCCTCCCCTCCCCACAGCTCTCCTCCATGCCTTCCATGTCACCTCTATCATGTCACCACCTCACCTGGGAGAGGAGTTCCTGGTGGCCTTTCAGCAGAATGGGGACCAACGCACCCTCCGCAGTGACTTTCGCCTCCTCCTCCTCACTGGCCCCTCCCCATCCACCACCGCCACCATTTCCATGAAAAGACCTGGATTACGGATGACAGTACAGGCAGCTGCTAACCAACCAATCCTGGTGAAAATCCCACCCCAAGCTGAGATGGTGGGAAGCCAACTTTTTGAAAATGCCGTGGTGGTGAAGACCACTGCTGCTGTCACCACAGTGATGATAAATGACAAACCCTCTGCGGCTGACTCTGCCATCATTATGCCAGTCCACAGATGGGGGACGGAATATCACGTGGTCACCCCCAGCCCAGGCCCCGCCCGCTATTCCCAATTCGTAGTGGCCGCTTGGGATCAACCTACCACAGTCAATGTTCACCTCAATGCTGACGTCACCTTCCGTGGCCAGTTGCACCCACGTGGTTCCACCATCACTATCCCACTGGAGCCGTTTCAAGCGGCACAGATCCAGAGTGCGGCAGATCTTTCTGGAACACGGGTTGTAGCGCAGAGACCCATCGCCGTCTTCAGTGGCCACACCTGTGTGGGCAGGTTGAGCCGTTGTGATCACATGGTGGAACAGCTCCGCCCTGTCACCCGGTGGGGGACAACCTTCATTGTCCCACCAGTGCCCTTCCGGGGACAATCCAATGTAGCCTACATCTCTGCTGCACAACCAACGTGGGTCAAGGGTCACAGTGAGGTCACCGAAACCACACGAGAATTACAACCCAACCACACGGTGCTCTATGCTTTCCAGTCAGGAAAGGGCTTGTTTCTCACTTCTGATGCTGGGATCCAGGTTTTTCTTTTGGGGAATGGCAGAAATAGTGGTGCAGTGGCCTTTACCCCATTTTTTGTCACTGTCCCCGATGTCACCAGTTACTGCAACTCCTATGGCATTGTCACGCTGGAGGGATATGACAACCGTGTCCTGCTGGTAGCCAAGACAGCGGAAACTTCCAGAATACTGCTGAATCAGAGGCCATTAGGGAGCACAACATGGGAGCCAGTTCCTGGGACAGAATATTCATGGATTGGGATAAATTTGGGAAGCGGATTTGGAATCCATCGAGTGGAGCATGAGACAACGGCATTTGGGGCATGGAGCGTCGGGACAGGGGAGGGGAAACGCTATGGAGCAGAGGGAGCCTGTGACAGTGGTGAGTGGAGGGGGACTTTGATATCAATAAATAATCTATAATTATATGTATATAAATAACAGCTATAGTAATTATGGTTAATTAAATCTAATTATAAAAATATATAAAAATATATAACTATGCAATTATATAAATGACAGCATTTATTACATAAAAATTAATATATTACTATATAAGAATAATAGTAAAAGAACTACTTGTAGTATATTTAAATAAATAAGGATCAACAGAGACATAAATATATAAATAATACATAAAAATTACTATCTCTAAATGTAAATAAATAATATAGAGAGAATATATAAATATTAGAGATAAATATAATATATATAAAATTTCATAAATTTATTAAATTTAATAAATTTAATATAGAATATATTAAGTATACATAATAAAAATACATTCCAGTGATACATGTATATTTTTAAATTAACTAGAATTATACAAAAGTATGATATTTATAATAATGCTATACTATAATAGAAATATGTAAGCAAATGTGAGTAGATAATTAATATATAAATGAATACATAAAGAATATATAGAGATATATAAATAATTTAGAAAAAATATACATAAATATAAATAAGTACAATAAATAAAGGACCACTCACTTAAACGTTGGACTTGATGATCCTTGGGGTCCCTTTGAACTCCAAATATTCTGTGAAGTCTCTGAAATGGATCGTTAAGGATATCAGTAATATAATTAATTAATACCAATTAATCACTTGTCATTAATAAATCCCCAGACCCCTGCCGAAAGGTGCAGTGCCGCCCCAAGGAGACCTGCCACCTGGACAAGGGTACACCCACTTGCCGCCACGATTATCTGGGCACCTGCACTGGCTCCTCATCCCTGCAATACCACACTTTTGACGGGGCCTCTGTGTCCATCCATGGAGGCTGCAGGTACACCTTGACCAGGTACTGCGGGGCCGACCCCACCCTGGAGCCCTTCTCCGTGGAAGAGGGGTGGAGTCAGGATCGCTCTGAGGCACCATTGGCCAACGTCTACGTCTACGCCTACGCCTACAATGTCTCTATCCATGCCGGGGGGGGCAGGACCGTCCAGGTGAGTTTCCCCAGGCATTGAATCCGTCATTCCTGAAAAAAAACATTTATTCTGAGTGGATAAAACTTTCCAGGTGAGTTTGACCTTAAAAAATTAGGAAAAACACACACAAAAATGGAAGAGTATAAATCACTGCAGTGTTGATGTGGGCCTTAAAAAATAAGTAGAACTATCAAACACATGGAATTTTGATTTTTGGTTTTCCGTCCCAAACAACCCAGAAGACCAAGGAGAAGGTTTTTAATCCCCAACTTGAGGTGTCTCCAACCCACTCCAGGTTAAATCCACTTCTGGTTAAATTCCAGAAAAAAAAGGCAATTTTAAAGTTTGAAACCACCAAGCCCACAGAATTTTGGGAATTTTTCCATTCCCAATCAAGTCACAAACAAGGAAGAGGTGTTTCATCCCTGACACCAGGTTTCTCCAACCAATCTATCTTCATGTTGGGGTTAAATCCCAGAAAGAAAGGCAATTTTTAAGGAAATGAGTCAATATTAAGGTCAGATTTCTCCATGAGATTCATGAAACACAAAGAAATCTGTCAAAAATGAAGTCTAGGTGACACATCCCTCAATTTTTCTCGGTGGAATGTCATTACTTCCAACCATGGCCTCAACACAAACAAGATCTTAAGCTCAGAAAGTGTAGAAAAACTTTTCTTGGTTTGGATTTTGTGGAATTGGGGCAAAAATTCTGATTTTAATGAAAATTGATTATTCCAAAAGTCACTTCTCCTTCCGTTTTGGGAACCATCCACTGAGTTTTAACCCTTCTCCTCCTCCTCCTCCCCCTCCTCCCACTCTACCAGGTCAACAACAAACCCACTGACCTTCCAGCCACCCTGGAAGCTGGAAAAATCCGGATTTTCCAAAATGAGGGTCGGACCATCCTCCGGACAGATTTTGGGCTGCAGGTGACCTATGATGAGGACCAGGTCATCATGGTGGCAGTGCCCAGCAGCTATTTTGGGGCCACCTGTGGCCTGTGTGGCAACTTCAATGAGGATACAGAGGATGAGGCAATGGTTCCCAGTGGTATTCCTGGTGAAGGTGATGAAGGTTGGGCAGAAAGTTGGAGAGATCCTTCATGTCAGAAAGACTGTGGAGACCAGGAGAATCCATGGGACACAGAGAGGTGTGGTGAGTTCATGTGGGGCTTCCAAGGATCTTGGGAAAGGGAGAAGAGGATGTGTGTGGGAATTCAGTTTCAAGGATCTGCCTAGAGCAATGGTGGTGTAACGTATCTGGTGTTCGTCTACAGTGGTGTTTATAGGTGTCAACATAATCAACATCTTCAGCACATGGAAGGGTTGTGATGGTCTTTTCATCACAAAATACCCCAAAACCCACCTGATCTGGGCCAGGTGCCCAAAATAGATGGAATTATGGTGGGATTTTCCTGAGGGTGTCCCTGTGGGGTGTCCCATGAACACCAGTTCCTTTTAAGTGTCTATGTGAGCAACACCTCCATTATGGGGAAGGTTTGCATTGGTCTTTTCACCCTAAAACACCCAAAAGTCCCACTGATCTTACTCTGGATGTCAATAACACATGGAATTACATTGAAGCTTTCCTGAGGTTCACCTCTCTTGGGTGTCTCACAGACTCTAAATCCCTTACAGACATCAACGCAACCAGCAACTCCAGCAGTTCCAACACCTCCAGCACCTCCAGCAGCTCCAGCAGCTCCAGTACCTCCAGCACCACCTCTTCTTGTTTCCACAACAATCGCTTCTACAAGCTCCACGAGGAATTTTGGGAAGACAGTAGCTGCCATAAGTGGTGTCGGTGTGAGGGCACAGGGATGGTGAAATGTAACCCAGGAAAGTGCAAATCTCAGGAGAAATGTGTCACAATCAACGGCGTTTCCACATGTGAACCCAACCGGCACTACACCTGCATCGGGACAGGTGACCCGCATTACACAACCTTTGATGGGAAGAGGTTTGACTTCCAAGGCTCCTGCATCTACCAATTTGCTGCCCTCTGCACCCCCAAACCCATGCTGGTCCCTTTCAATGTCACTGTGGAAAACAACCACCGTGGCAGCCGCGCTGTAAGCTTCACCAAGACCGTCACCCTGGAGGTCTATGGGAGCATCATCAGCATGAGCCAGGAGCACCCGCGCAAGGTCAAGGTGGGTGGACACTAAAAAATCATTTTCACTCCGAATTCCCTCTCTTTTTTTCCCCCAAATTCCCCTTTTTCCCCTTCTAATTACCTTTTTCCTTCCAAAAAACCCTTTTTTTCTGCAAATTCCTCATTTTTTCTCCCCAAAGTACCCTTTTTTACCGCAAATTCCTCATTTCCCCCCCAAATTCCCCATTTTTTCCTCCAAATTCCTTTTTTTTTATCCTGTAAGTCCCCATTTCCCCCTCCTAAAATTCCTCCTTTGTATCCCCCCAAATTCAAATTTAATTTCTGCCCAGCACCTCTAGGTTGAAGCCCTGAGAAGGGAGTTTGGGGTTAAACCTCACATTTTTGATATGTTTAGAAGTTTGTCTAAAAAAATAAATAGGAAAAATACTGCAATCAATTAATAAAATAAAAATTAAAAATAAAAATTAAATTAAAAAATAGAAGTAAAAAATAAAAAGAAGAGAAAATAAAATAGAAAATATACTGTACAATTAAATGAGACAAAAATAAAAAATAGATATAAACAGAAAATAAAAAAATAAATTGAACAAAAATTGAAAATGAATTATAATAAGAACAACTCAAAAAGATAAAAATACAATAAAATAAATAAAAAGAAAAATAAATTATTTAAAATAAAATTAAGATATAAAAATAAATGACAATAAAAATATAATCGAAAATAAAGAAGTAAAAATAAATAAAAATATAAAAATTAAACAAAATAAAAACTTAATAATAAAAATAAATAAGAAAAAATATAATTAAAA